TCCCTTCTCTTTCTCTCTCCTACTTTTTCTCTCTCTTTAAAATATCTCAAATCCTCTATTTAAATCAAGTAGGATCATCCCGGACGATTCCTATTCGTCCCGGGACGAGTTGCTCTTGGGACAAATTTTGTCCCGACGGATCGTCCAGACTCATACAGGTTCGTCCAGACGAACCATACAGATTCTTCACAATTTTCTTTAGTTTGTCCCGTACTAAAGTCAGTTCATCCGGACTAACAGCACTCACAAAAATGAAAATTTGAAGAGTTTTACAATCTACCCATCTTAAGAAAAATGTCGTCCTCGATATTTCCCTTAGGGTTCAAATGCAAAATCGATACAAAACAAATCCATCCAATCAAAACTCAAATCAAATCGAATCAAAATCCAAACTCGTCGAAAACCATACAGTCATACAATTCATTCATTCACATGTCATTCACTATGCATAATATGTCAAGTCAATCAATTAGTCAAATAAATTTCTTACCAGTAGAACTTTCAGGTCGTAGTTGATCTTCATAATGTTGTAAACTATATACACATGGTGTCACTTGAGTAGGTGCAGTAGATCGTGGAGCAACAATTTCCCTCTGACTATTACTGACAGCTCTATCATTTGTCCTATTCATTGATCTTTCATTATATGCTCTTGAGCCAACAGTCCTCTGTCCTACAGTACGTCTAGACTGTCTTGTGCCAGAATCAGTTCTTCCTCCAATTTCCTTCTGAGGAAAATTTGCTGCTCTATGTCCTTGCTGTCCACAATGAAAACATTGCCCCGTAAATAAGTAACACTGACCTGCATGTCGTCGACCACAATGAATGCACTCGCTGTAGCTACCAGAAGATGCTACCGATGCAGATCCCCTTGAATCACTATATTTCTTCTCTTATCCCTATCTCTTTCTCTACTTGCTTCATCTCTTCTACTTAATTCATCTCTACTCCTCCTGGTGACTTCATATCTCGATGCTGGCGTTGCCAAATCGATTTCTATCAGTCTGGCCCGCTCTACCAACTCAGAAAACTCATGAATCCGTAACGGTACTAGTGGATGTCTTAACTCTCTGTTCAATCCTTGCAGAAATCTATAGCATTTTCTTCAGTAGTGGGGATCAAATGAGAAGCGTACCTAACAAGTGCAGTAAACTCAGCCTCGTACTGCATCACTGTCTTGCGTCCTTGCTCCAACTTAATAAAAGCTTCTTGCATTTGTCGTTGGGCTGATGGAGGTACAAACCACATCTGAAACACTGTAGTAAACGCGTCCCAAGTGATCTTAGAATTTGTCTTCCCTTGAAATTTCTCTCTCTGCTATCCAATCCACCATCTATCTGCTTCTCCTTCAAACAGAAATACAGCCAAAGGCACCTTTTGACTTTCCGGACACTGCTTGCAATCAAAAATCTTTTCTATCCTCATTATCCAATCTTCAGCAGCCTGAGGTCCTACAGCTCCTTTGAAAACCAGAGGTTTCAATTTGTGAAATGTCTGTAAATGCTTGTCTACTTCTTCTTCTTTGCTTCCAACTAACTTACTCTGTGCATCTCCCATTACTTGCGCTATAGCAGTAGCCAACTGCATCATACTTTCTGAAGGTACTAGAGCTGCACTGTGTTGCTCATTTGGTACACTTGACTCTGGATTATCCATTTAACTTTTTCACTGCATAGTTCAGTATAATAGGAATGATATACACATGCAACTATGTATGCCAAATGATGCACTTGAAACTACCCATTCTACCCAACTCTCAATCAAATCCTATAACTCTGGTAACAATCAATTCTTTCAATAACACTGCTCTGATACCACTAAATTTGTGACGCCGCAAGATCTAACTTGGAAGAATTATTCAATCGATCCTCTAAATTATAACTTACCAGAGCTATCTATAATCATCAATCAGATAAACAGTCTAACAAAATCTACAATTTAAAAAACATCAATGTACATATTCTGATCATTCCCAAAAGTACATTTACAATACTCAGGATCTACATATCAATCACAAGTAATCTATAATGTCCTGAGTACAAAAAGAATCACTATAACAAAATGATAAAAACCTGAAGTTTCCTGATCAACCTCAATCTTCTGCTCCCCTGCCCTAACCTGAAAATATTAACCATATATAATGAGCTTCAAAAAGTCCAGCAGGTCACCTATTACCTACAACTGAAATCAAAGCACAGTGCTGAATAATATGTATGTCAATCAGTCAAATCCATAACAATCACTTGCACATGATCATTGAATCTATGCAGATATAAAAATCAGTAATCAATGCATGATCGATGGAATCCCAAAATCATCAGTAGAATGACCAATAAACAGTAAAGAAATCCATAATGCTCAATAAATCAATACATACGTCAATTCCATCATATCTGAAATATCGGTCAAATCCATAGGGAAAATATCGTATCAGTAATATTAGTTAAATCAATATCGTATCGATAGAATCAATCAAATCATTAATAAAGAAATCATCTCCAATCAATACTATCAATCTGTATGAAATCAAATAAAACAATCAATCAATACATCGTAAGAACAATTGAAATCAAATCAATACAGTAAAAACATATTCTATATCACATGGTTAATGTATCACATGTGGCAGATCAATATTCGGTGTATCAATGAATCAATGGTATCAATAAATCTATAGTATCAATGAATCAATCATATCAGTGTCCGTAGTATCAATGAATCAATGCAATAACAATATCCATATCAGTATCAGTATTTAGTGACATGAGTATGCAATATCAATGAAATCGTACAGTAATAGTAAACCCATAAATCCGTCAGAAAATCCATTCAATAGCAATAAATCAATTTCATATCAATAAATCAGTCAATCGATAAATCAATAAAGAAAGTATAAGAACAATACTTTACACATGCATTCAATACAGTAGTCTTAATGAACAAGTACAATCACTAGCTATTAAGGCGTTTTTCGGTCTTGGAATATTGATGAATCGTTGTATATCCGTTGGCTCAATAATAGAGTCGTCACACTTTACCCGTCGACCGCCCGTCGGCATAATAATCTCCTTATGACTCCCAATCATTGTATCTATGATCAATAGAGGATAACACCAAACCCTTTTTAAAGGAAAGCTCGTCGGCCCACCATCCTGTACAGGTCAAATCAATCTCCAACCAACGGTTCAACCAGCCTTTACTTGTCTTTCAGTAATATAATAGTAATTCAATCATACATATATCCACATTCGTATACATATCATAAATGCATTGCGATCAATAAATATGATTTGACCCAATTTAGAAAACTCCATAAAATATCGTATAGTAGACAGAAGTTATAAAATGCACAGTTCCAAAAAAATTTCAAATTACTAGAAATCGAATAAAACAACATTTCAAAGCTTTACTTGTACTGAAACACTATTTTTCAACAGCCTGATATTTTTCTATTCGATAAAAACACATCAGACTACAAAATACCCGGTAAAAACTTTCCAGAAAATACTTAAATCATGCAAAATCATCATTTCAATAACATACCAAAAGTTACGCGGTAAAAGTTACGTCCATACAAAGATAGGGTCATTTTTCGGTAATGGAAACACAAAACTGAGTAGAAAAATACCAAAATACGAAATCTTCGAAATCAGAAATAGGATTTGAATTCCTTACTTTGAGACAAACTAATCTTCCAACTGCGTCGTCGGACGGAAAGTGCTTTGCGGCCACCGAAATCAAGCTTTCCCTTCTCTTTCTCTCACTCGCTTTTTCTTTCTCTTCAAAATATCTCAAAATATCTCAAATCCTCTATTTAAATCAAGCAGGATCGTCCCAGACGATTCCTATTCATCCCGGGACGAGTTGCTCTCGGGACAAATTTTGTCCCGACGGACCATCTCGACTCATACAGGTTCGTCCAGACGAACCATACAGATTCTTCACAATTTTCTTCACTTCGTCCCGTACTAATGTAAGTTCGTCCGGACTAACAGCACTCACAAAAATAAAAATTTCAAGGGTTTTACAGCTTATACCCAACTTAAGAAATTTGCTAACAATGCCTGAAAAATATCAGAAGTAGAAATATTATCTTTAGTAACACCAACATCAACATTAAAAGGTTCTTGAATAGATGAAAGAGGAGGCCTAGATGAAGTTACAATATCCAAATCCATCGCAACCAATATCATCAACAATGAAATATAAAAAAAACAACAAAGGTATGAAAACCCCCCACCTTAAGAAAAATTATTCTGTCAGGCTACCTGACGTAGAGATACATCAGGTAGCCTATAATACGTCGCCACATGCACTTATTCTTTACCGCGCAGCCTGACGACCCGACCCGGAGCGGACCCGGGAGTTGGTGTAGCTCGGTATTGCTAGGTATTGATCCATTTTACTCGACAAAAATGAAAAATACTATTCTGTGAAGACCAATACCGAGCAATACCGAGTTCTTTTAGGTATTACTCGGTATTGCTCGGTATTAATACCAAGTTCTTTTAGGTATTGCTCGGTATTGCTCTTTACAGATCGTTATTGTCAAGCAATACCGAGTAATACCTAGCAATACCGAGCAAATACCGAGCAATACGCGAACATAGTAATCCCAGATTTGGTACGAGTCGGATCGTCGGGCCGCGCGGCAAAGAATAAGTGCACATGGCGACTTATTATAGGCTACCTGATGTATCTCTACGTCAGGTAACCTGACGGAATATTTTTTCCCACCTTAATCCCTTGGAAGAGGAAGAAGAAGATTAGTAGAGAAACAAGGAAACTAGAGGAAAAATTCAATAATTCCTCATTAATAATTTTATGCCCAAGTTTTAATAAATAAAATATTGTATATACACACACAAACTAACATTTAAAGATTAAAGATTGAAGATTGCAATATAAAATTACTTATAGGTTGCCATAGGAGATTCTTAGAGTTCTAAGAATTATTTTATCAAAATTTGTGCTTTCAACCTCCATAACGGCCCACAATCTTACTTTGCACCTTATTTACATTTAAAAAGCTAGTCATATTACAGTATAAAATTACACTTACATATATATACTCAAACATTTGTACAAAGAAGGGTTTCCATAGGAGAACAATGTAATGTAGATTCAATTATTTTTCCGTTGAAGGGAAACCATGAAAAGGAGACCTGATGCAGAAGTTGGCTGAACTTGTCACTGTTCTTTTCTCACATTTGGGATAAAGCGCAGCACAAACATCCTGTTTAAGAAAAAAAAATCAACATCACATTGAGAAATAAGTTTAAGAACAAGCGCAAAGAAAATTTTCTAGTCTGATGAGATTATAAAATGTAGAATATAGTCGATTGCATTGCAAGAGGTGTACTGCCATCTTATTTGCCATTGTATAAAACAATAAAGGAAATATAGTAAAAATAAATTTCGATGACTTGAATATGTATCATAAAGGGTAAAGGATAAACAATAAGATGCTAGATAAAATTTATGTTAGGTAGAGGTAGATCTAAAAAGACTTGATTAGAAAATTTTAGAAATGACCCGTCTTTATTAGATTTAAACAAGAATTTGATTTTTAATAGGACATAATGGAGAAAAAAGATTCATATAGCTGATCCCACATAGTAGAACAAAGGCTTGATGTTGTTATTGTTGTTGGTGTTGTTGTTTCTATATCTTTAATAAAAAGTTCTACTATCTAGCTCATATTATCATTTTTTAATTTATCCTTCTTAATTATGCTACAAATACTTCTTAACGTTCCTTTCTTTTATCATACTCAACTTGTCTATTGAAGAATTGTTTATTACGAAATACTTTGATCAACTTAACATTGTTACAATCTTATAAAATTTATCTTTAAGCCTCTATAATATTCTCTCATCATATTATAAGTATTTCCCTAATTGAAACACCTAGCCTTAGCTCTAGAAATTACAAGCTCGTTTGCATCCACTTTTTTTTTGCATAATAAATCTAAGATGCCTAAACTCATCTTAACTAGATATCACTTTATCTTCTAATAATAGTGATTGATAATTAGAAATATAACACATACTAAAATTGTATATAATTTACCAAATCTTTGATCTCCTGATTCTAAATTTGTTATGTTGTAAAAATTTTCTACATTGCTCTATATTTTCATGTATTTTAACAAATGTTTCACCGACTGTAAAGAAATCATACATCAAGAAACATCACTTTGAATATCCTTTGTATGCATTTTTATGACTAATACAAAAAGATGCAAGCATGATGTTTATCCTTGATGTAAACCTATAATGATTAAGAACTCCTTCATTATTTCTTAACTACTATTAATAATGGTTAATACTCTACCACATATATCTTCAATATCTTCAGCATATCCCTAACACACCCTTTTTTTTACTGTGCACCAGATCAATTTTTACACTCCTCAAAACAAATAAAAATCATATGAAGATCTTTTCTTTGCTCTATATATTTCTTATTAATTCTCTTAACACAAAACTGCATCCATAGTGGATCTTCTTAATCTAAATTCATATTGATCTTCTTAATCTACCATGTCAATAAAATTTTATACTTCATTACTCTCTCTCATAACATCATTGTATGATTTATAAGTTTAATTCCCCTATAATTACCACAATCTTGAACTTCTTTTTTGTTTTTGAATATTAGTGATGAAGTGCTTATTATCCAATCATTTGACAATTGTAATCCTCTTAGCTTTAAAAATTCTATTAAAAGTATTTATTAATCAGACTAAAATATTATTCATATCTCTGAAATCATTTTTGGGGGTCAATTAATCTAGAACATATCTCATTATTTTAATTATTATTATTATTATTTAACAGCATTCATTTTCGTTTACCAATTTTATGCTCACTCCATCATCAAACATCATTATATATGACTTAATTATAAAACTCGCCAAAAAATTTAGTTAATAGAACCAGCCATCTTTCCCGCATCAATTTTTTCTTGACTACAGAATTTGAATTTGCTTCTCTTAAAGACTAGCAACTTTTTAAAAGTTCTGCCATCTTATCCCAAGGCATGAAGACCTATTGATCATTCCGTTTATACTCCTAGAATAATATCCATAACAATTTCTGTGTTTTATAGTCAATTTCCTCCTAAAATCATCTTACAAATTTTTAAACTTTTTTCTTCCAAGCCAAAAAAAAAAAAAGAAAAATATTTCTGATTTCAAACTCTAATTCCAAAAATTACTAAGCTCTCTTCTCGATTCTTAATTTCATAATCTCTACTACCAAGAACAACGTTTTCACTAGCAAGTTAGAATTCTTACTAAATCAATGAACTATCATAAAAAATTTCATGCGTTTAAGAAATGAAGCTTGCAAAGAACTCTTCAAACTCTTCTGAAAGACCTACAATGGCGTGTGTCAACCAGCGGGGAAGCAAGAGTTTTTGTATTTTCAGCTACAAATACGCAATCAATATGAACCTGACTACGAAGTGAACAATTTCTTACGATAGCGTGTCTGCTGCATAAAATATTGGAACTTTTCCAGGTCCTCCTCCATTCCACTCTCCTCTGATGGAATCAATAACTTGCTCTGCCAGGCTACCTGCTGCTGTCAATACAAACTGACAAAACAATAGACAATCAAATGATTATCTTATCTGCCATTGTATAAAACAATAAAGGAAAGATAGTAAAAATAAATTTCGATGTCTTGAATATGTATCATAAAGGGTAGAGGATAAACAATAAGATGCTAGATAAAATTTATGTTAGGTAGAGGTAGACCTAAAATGATTTGGTTAGAAAATTTTAGAAATGATCATTCTTTATTAGATTTAAACAAGAATTTGATTTTTAATAGGACATAATGGAGAAAAAAGATTCATATAACTGATCCCACGTGGTAGAACAAAGGCTTGATGTTGTTGTTGTTGTTGTTGTTGTATCTTTAATAAAAAGTTCTCCTACTATCTATCTCATATTATCATTTTTTAATTTATCCTTCTTAATTATGCTACAAATACTTCTTAGCGTTCCTTTCTTTTATCATACTCAACTTGTCTATTGAAGAATTGTTTATTACGAAATACTTTGATCATCTTAACATTGTTACAATCTTATAAAATTTATCTTTAAGCCTCTATGATATTCTCTCATCATATTATAAGTATTTCCCTAATTGAAACAACTAGCCTTACCTCTAGAAATTACAAGCTCGTTTGTATCCTTTTTTTTTTTTTTTTTTTTTTGCATAATAAATCTAAGATGCGTAAACTCATCTTAACTAGATATTATCTTCTAATAATAGTGATTGATAATTAGTAATATAACACATACTAAAATTGTATATCATTTACCAAATCTTTGATGTCCTAATTCTAAATTTGTTATCTTGTAAAAAATTTCTACATTGCTCTGCATTTTCATGTATTTTAACAAATGTTTCACCGACTGTAAAGAAATCATACATGAAGAAACATCACTTTGAATATCCTTTGTATGCATTTTTATGATTAATACAAAAAGATGCAAGCATCATGTTGATCCTTGATGTAAACCTATAATGATTAAGAACTCCTTCATTATTTCTTAATTCTTAACTACTATTAATAATGGTTAATACTCTACCACATATATCTTCAGCATATCCCTAACACACCCTTTTTTTTACTGTGCACCAGATCAATTTTTACACTCCTCAAAACAAATAAAAATCATATGAAGATCTTTTCTTTGCTCTATATATTTTTTATTAATTCTCTTAACACAAAACTACATCCATAGTGGATCTTCTTAATATAAATTCATATTGAACTTCTTTTTTGTTTTTGAATATTTGTGATGAAGTGCTTATTCTCGAATAATTTGACAATTATAATCCTCTTAGCTTTAAAAATTCTATTAAAAGTATTTATAAATCAGACTAAAATATTATTCATATCTCTGAAATCATTTTTGGGGGTCCATTAATCTAGAATATATCTCATTATTTTAATTATTATTATTATTTAACAGCCTTCATTTTCCTTTACCAATTTTATGCTTACTCCATCATCAAACATCATTATATATGACTTAATTATAAACTCGCCTAAAAATTTAGTTAATAGAACCAGCCATCTTTCCCGCATCAATTTTTTCTTGACTACAGAATTTGAATTTGCTTCTCTTGAAGACTAGCAACTTTTAAAAGTTCTACCATCTTATTTCAAGGCATGAATACCTATTGATCATTCCGTTCATACTCCTAGAATAATATCCATAACAATTGCTGTGTTTTATAGTCAATTTTCTCCTAAAATCATCTTACAATTTTTTAAACTTTTTTCTTCCAAGCCAAAAAAAAAAGAAAAATATTTCTGATTTCAAACTCCAATTCTAAAAGTTACTAAGCTCTCTTCTCGATTCTTAATTTCATAATCTCTAGTACCAAAAACAACATTGTCACTAGCAAGTTTAGAATTCTTAATAAATCAATGAACTATCATGCGTTCAAGCAATGAAGCATGCAAAGAACTCTTTAAACTCTTCTGAAAGACCTACAATAGCGCGTGTCAACCAGTGGGGAAGCAAGAGTTTTGTATTTTCTGCTACATATACGTAATCAATACGAAGTTGATTAAGAAGTGAACAATTTCTTACGATAGCGTGTCTGCGGCATAAAATATTGGAACTTTTCCAGGTCCTCCTCCATTCCACTCTCCTCTGATGGAATCAATAACTTGCTCTGCCAGGCTACCTGCTGCTGTCAATACAAACTGACAAAACAATAGACAATCAAATGATTGCTTTTCTAACACAAAATACACAGCTTTGCGGTAAAAGAGAAATGCAATTATGAATGCAAAAACAATGATCAAGTGACAACAACAAAAAATAGAAGAATAAATAAGCTCCTGGATGCAAAGATGACCTTTAAGGCTTCGATTGGAACGGCTTTCTTACTGCTTCATAAAGGAGCTTTTTAGTTAAAAAATGTTAATTTTTTTAATAGAAAGTTGTTTTAAGAAGCAATAAGAAAGTCATCCCAAACGAAGTCTAAGTCTAAATGCACATTTCATTGCTTTGCCTATTTAGTTTCGCTTTCCATTTTCAGGCGTTCCCTACTTGAGTTTCTCGAGTTTTAAATGTATTCAGACTGGGTGGAACTTGAAAGAAATAAAAATATCCATTGCATTGAACCTATAGGGTCTCGGGAGGGTTAATGTACATACACTTAATCCTGAATTTGCAGAGAGGCTATTGAACATGAGTCAGCCATCATATCTAGTTTAAACTGGCTATATTGAACAAGAGTAAGCCATCATATCTATATAATGAATACTTCTTGACTAGCCAAGCTTCTTTAGTCAAATTCATAAGGTGGATTTAGGAAGTCTATCTGAAGACTTCTTGCCTTCAGGCTCCCCAAGTCAAATTCTTAAGATAGGTTTAGGAATCCCATCACACGCCTTCAGTTACACCAAACGATCACCAAAGTACAGGTCGAATGTATTCCCAGAAATGGAAATCTAATGAAGACATAAATGCCATCTCAATAGGCCACGGCATCCATTGTATATGCAACGCATGAAAATCAATGCATCGTTTGGGACGGCTTTCTTACTACTTAAAACAGCTTTTTAGTATAAAAAATTTAGTTTTTGTGCTAGAAAGTTGTTTTAAGTAGTAAAAAAGCCGTCCCAAACGAAGCCCAAGACAACTGAGGAACACAATCTTGGGTGATGATGACTTCAGCGAACTAGGAAAACCTAATAATGAATTACAAAAAGCAGATGAAACCAAAATAAGTACATAAAAATATAGTGGTCAACATACTGCACCTCCTTGGAACTAACATTAAAATTTCCCAAAAAATTGAAAATGCCCAAGCTAACGAAGATCTAGTTCAGAGTACTCTAGCTAAAAAAGATGAAAAATAAGGAGAAAAATTTTATGCAAGACCGTACACTAGGTTGGATCATGGTACAACACTATCAGAATCAGTAAAAGCATGAAAAGAAATACGCTTGGCGTTTAAAAAATTGGCCAAAACTCATGGCTCAAAGACCGATCTTAGAATTACTAATATGAAAGTATCTGATAGGAAACCCTTGTAGATCTCAAGCAAATCTTATAAAAAATTGAATTTCAGAAAGACTTCACCACAAATCTCCAATCAAACTCAGGAAAACAGCGACTATAATGTAGGAATTGATAAAAACATAAAGAAAATAATAAGATACAATTGATCCTCTCTTCGAGAGGAGGATATTTCTCTCCCAACTCTCTAGATGCCACTAGAGCCCAAAAACACCAAGGAAACACATAACTTCAGCAATAATCAAGATAACTGTAACCTTTTTTTTTTTTTAAGATAACCGTAACCTTAATTCCAACCTCCTAAATAAAGCACACAATAATTAACTCCCAAAAAACTAAACAGCCCTCTTAATTCAAAATTTCCCTTCTAATCCCTCATCCTCTCTCTCTACTTAACCCGTGGGTCTCGATGGGGGGGGGGGGGGTGGAGAACACACTAGGGGTTGAAAAACAGCATGCTTACGCCTGTTGTAAACAAGGGGTCGGCCCAAATGTTGGACTAGCTGGATCGATCTATCAGTATCTTAGCATTACCAACTAGCCACCAGCGAGGCCATGAATGCCCACGGCCATTATGTTCAAAATGGATTTATGAAAGTGATTCACTTAAGCAACATAAGCCCATGCATATGATGAATAATAAACAAAATTAGTCAAAGTGCATACCAAAGGAAAAAGTATAGCCATAACACCATAGCTCACAAGTCGAGAGAAAAAAAATATTGCTAGCACGCAAGGACTTCCTGAAATTAATACCAAAAGAATGTTAATAGCATACATGACATATACCACAAAAACTATTAACCGAGCATGCTTATGCATTCCATAATTATTTAGATTATACATCCAATTTATGTTATTACACCTCATTACATTATGTGTAATAGAAATAAACTTAAAGAAAGAAATCAGTACCAAATCCTGCAAAGAAGGCCCAGTTTGATTCAAAGAACTCCAGCCTTTTGTCTAAACTGAGTTCGGAAAGATTCCATTTATACCTGGGAACATTAAAGTAGAAAATGAATTAAAGCAATCAAGCAACATAAAGAACATCATACAAAATCGTATTTAATTGTTTATTCTCAAAGTCTATTGGTACACAAAGTCGCCAAAAGCGGGCAACATACTCGAAACAGTAATATGCATACATCCAGGCATTGAGCAGAAAACTGATTGCTGTGCCAATGTAAGGTATAAATAGAGCTGCAACAACCTGAATTCTAAAAAAGAACACTGTTGTAAGTACACTAGAAAAACAAAATTGAAACTGAAAAACCAGCTTGACATTCACCATGCATCGTAAAACACTTTATCAAAGATATAAAACACGGACATCGCATTGAAGGTATTTAAACAAAATAACTGCACCTCTATGAAGAAGAAGGTTAATAAAAGAAGTGAATATAATTGTTCACCAATTCCAACCACAACCCTGTTGAATAAATGATAAAGATTTATGAGTAAGGCAAAAGATAATTCTAACTTCAAAGATATTAATCTTAGCTGAAGCTTCTGATAACTTGGAATTTCAGTTTTTGAAATGAAACAGACCCCTCAAGCCCACCAGGTCTGCTTGAATGCATGCCATTTTGATTGTCTTGTGAAGCTCTTTCTCCTGAAGCTTTTGCCAGATGCATCCCTTTTCTTTTGAGAACCTCAAAAGCATACCTAGCAATGTCGTTATACCTGGATTGGTAAAACAAGAACAGAGTATAAGTTTGGCAAAGAGAAAAAAATTTTATGGATCGGTAATGCTATTATACAAAACAGCAGATATCAAGCAAAACAAATTAAATCTTTACATTCATTAAAAAAACTCATATCTACATGAAACCTTCATCAGCAAATACATACCTTACAATAACAACAACATTATTCTTTTATCCCACTACGTGGGGTCAACTACATGAATCTTTTTTCTCCATTGTGTCATGTTAAGAGTCAAATTCTCATTTAAATCTAATAAAGAAAGGTCATTTCTAATATTTTCTAACCAAGTCTTTTTAGGTCTACCTCTACCTATCTTAACATAAGACAAATCTAATAGACTAATACATCTACTCTCCTAACCGGGTCATCGGAAGGCCGCCGTTTTATGTGACCAAACCATCGAAGGAGACTCTCTCTAATATTATCTTCCATTGGAGCTATGTTAGGAAATTCTTGAGAAATCAAAGTAATCCCTAACAAGCGAGAAGAAAACAACAAACGAACAAGATTCGGATGGAAAAATTCAGCAAAAACAACACATTTTGATTGACGGAAATCAAATAAACAATGAACCAAACAAGATACAATAGATCCTCGATTTGAGAGGAGGATCTTCTCTCCCAATCCCTAGAAGAAATCTAGAGTCCAAGACTCCAAGATAATAACACTCAAAAACAGCCAACAAAACATGCATAACCCTAACCCTAAATAATTCTTGCTATTTAATCCCTCCCCTAATTTCAAACACCGGATTGAAACTTTTTCCTCCCACTCCTAGTCGCCCCCCTCTTCTTCCCTAATCGTCTTGCCTAGTGTGCCCCACTAGATTAGGGTGGCACCATCAAGGGGGTGGTTTGTCCGCCTCCTATAACAAAGAACCGGCCTTTGGGCCAGTTGGGCCAGTTGGGCCGGTTCAAAGAGAACCGGCCTAACAAGTTACTCCAACCTTTTCATGTATATGCTCGTTTTGTATCTTGTCTTTAAGAGTAAAGTCACTCATCCACTTAAACATCCTCATCTCTGCAACACTTAACTTAATATTACGCTTTTCTTTTAATGGCCAACATTCTGCACCATAAAGAATTACAATTCTCACCACCATCTTATAGAAATTTTTCCTTAAATTTGAGGGGGACTTTCTATCACACAACAAGCCCGATGCATTCAACCACTTCAACCATCCAACTTGAATTCTACTAATAATATCCTCATCTATTTCACCATCAATCTGAACAGTAGATCAAAGATATTTAAAATGTGTACTCTTATTAATGACTTGATCGCCCAAAGTTTCAATCCTCCAATTAGATTTATTACTACTAAAATTACACTCCATATATTCGATCTACTCAAACGAAAACCTTTAGATTTTAAGGTTGATCTCCATAATTCAAGTTTACCTTTAACTCCCTCTCTAGTCTTATCAACAAGAAGAATATCATCAGCTAAAAGGATAAACTAGGGTGCAACCTCGTGCAAATGTCTAGTGAGAAAATCCATGACTAAAGCAAAAAGATATGAGCTTAAGGCTGATCCTTGATGTAATCCAACAGAAATAGGAAAACACTTGGTCAAACCACCTTGTGCTTGAACACAAGTAATAGCTATTGCATACATATCCTTAATGAATTGAATATAAACATTATTAACCCCTTTCTTTTCTAGAACTCTTCATAAGACTTCTCTTGGAACTTTATCAAATGCGTACCTTAAGAAGCTTAAAAATGACTTGTGATTGATCCATAATATTTAACCCACAAATTGTAAAGGTGCATGAAAAACCATATTCCTTAAGGGTTAAGTCGACTTATCATCCAAGCTCCCGGATAGTAATTTATAGTGTCCCCCTGAGCTACTCAGCCAACACCCTCAAACAACCACAGTCATGATTCTGAAACAAAATGTCATTCTCCACCCGAAACCCATCCTAACTTGAACATTGTCATAAAACGGAGGCTACTGCATTCTAGATTACTTTCAGGTAATACTAATGCCAAGAAAAAACAATTTAGAAGTCATCTCCCTTCCACATTAAGTTAAATTGTGATGTTATTGATTCAAAATAATAATAAAAAAAAAAACTAGTAGAAATTTTTCAGAGGAAAATTTTCTGGACAATTCTGAAGTTGGCTGAGCTACAAATTCTATGATGATGAAGAAATCTAGCTGCAAAAAGTAAATGAAATCTGACACTACACTGGAAGTAAGACGACCTACCACATGGTGCTCAGAATAATGCTGAACGCATAAAGTGGATAGAACCAAAAAACCTGGAAGGCAGCAGCAAATTGGTTAGTCTAACCACAGTGGTAATATCTAAGAATAAGATCAAGTATGAATCAACCATGAATTACGTAGGGAAGGGGAAAATAACGCAGAAACAAATGCAGAAATTAATAATTGACGAGGTGGATCTACTTGGTCTTTCAAAAGTAGGTGATGCAACCATCCAAAGGTTACTCCCCTCCCTGCACATAAAACTTTCGTCTCTCAATATTTAAGAAAAATATAGTTTGAACCCAAGAAGTTATTTCAAAAACTTTACTGCGAAATTTTCTTGAAACTTTAATTATTGGGTAGGGTTAGTGAGGTGCTGGGAGAGGGGATGCCAACACAACACAGATATTGAAGGGTGATAGCATTACAATAATTTTTAACTAAATATTGGAGGCTTCGAACAGAATAAAAGAAAATAATATAAAGCCAATTTGGTTGAATCACCCCTGTAAATGTAAATCTTTGACTGACGCATTTTTATGAGCAAAGGGAATATTTTGAAGATCTTGTATTTATGTAAGGGAAGAAAGCAATAGCAACAACGTCTTCTTCTCAATATCTAGTACTTATTTTCACAAGTGGTTGCCTTTCAACCACTAATATAGACAAAATCAAGATTTAAAACACAATTGGGTATTGAGGCGTTTTTTATTTATGTGGCGAGGCGTAAGTCTCAAGGCGTTTTGAGGTGTAAGCCTCAAAATTCAAAAATTTTGTAAAGTGAAAATAAAAGTTAAAAGTGATATTTTATACAATACTCAAATAATATGTTAATGGATAACAATATTAATTGAATTATGAAGTAACAAATTAACATAAATATGAAACAAAAATTGCACATGACATAAAGTGGCAAGTGATATATTATGTGAAATAGAATTGAAATTAAAATATTACAATAGCAAAATAACATAAAATATAAGAATTACATAAAAGTATTATATAAAACAAAGTTCAGCTCTAAATTCCTTCTTTCCCAATTTCATACCCATCGACATTTAATTCCTGAAAAAAAACTAAAATAATTGGCAACAACTCAGAAATCATCTGCACTATCATCATGCAATTTTTATTTGAGCCATCATCATGAAAAATTGATCTCTCCCATGCCTCATCTTGTGAAGTCCAATGCCTTCCAATATGTTTTTTATTCATTTATTTCAATCAGCTTTCTCTTTCATAAATATTTATCATTAACATAAACATGAGAGTAATACTCCAAAAATTTTGAAAGGGTGTAGCTTCCAAGTGATCCCCAGCGGTGGTGTTTGCGGGCAGAGGCGATGGGTTGGAGATCGAGGTAGCTGAGAGGAAACTTTTGCGGCTTGAAGGTGTATGTAGGTTTGATTTATTCACGCCTCAGCCAAACTAAGGCGCATGCCTCATAATAAAAACTCGAGGCATTTTTTTATTGAAATTGTGCTGAGGCAAGCCTCATATTGTGCAATTTTAAACAATCGACAAAATAGTATCTTTATCGTCAACTCCAACTTTGTATGATATCTTAAGTGTTTTAGTGGAGCAATGTAATAATTGTGCATTCGAAGGTGTATTCCACCAAACCAGATAAATTTATGTAGTTTATGTCTTCATCTGTGCTCTCTATTGTTATTATTCTCTCATCTTCATTTGATTTTTGCTCAAAAATTTATTAATATTCTAAAATTAGGGTCATTTCATAATAGTAATAAATGTGTTATTCATCTAAGTTCAAAGAATGGTCAGCCAGACTTATGCCAACTAAATGTAAGCCTTTCTTTTGTCCCAACGAGATTTCATTGATTTTCATTATTTTGGTGTTTCATGCCTATTAGCAAGGTTGAAAGGATAAATTGAGGTGCTAAAATTTTTTTAACATCATTTGTCAAAATTGATGACAGTAACAGTTAACAGCAAACTTTCAAATAGCAATATGGTTTAGATTAATGGTGATGTCCAACCTCAAACAAGATATGTTTTTCTTGAGCATAATGCTCTATTTTTAAAAAACAAGAACTCATGCCAAAACAAGAAGGCCTGTTAAATCACAGAGAAGAAAGAATATAATTTACACTACTGCTGCTAGAATGGAACTTCTAATAGCTTAAGAACAATGCTATTTGACATACACAAAACCATAAAGAAAGGCATTGATATATTTCTTTTCTTTTCAATCATGTTACACGGTTCATGAAATGTCAATGAAAAATTTACTGAAACAAGCTTTCCAACAAAATGATAGAAAAAAAATTACCGCAACAATCAACATTTGAACTAAAATTACTAAATGGAAAGCTTGCATTCACTTACATAGAACAGCTCAACAAGCACACGACGTGTGAAGGAATAGAGTGCCAAGGCTGTTCTACTCTGACATACGTGTTCTGAAACAAACTGCCCACACTCACTTGGCAATATCCATAACAAAGTTGGCATGACCACGGAATTGAACATAAATAAACTGCATAAAGTGAACCAAAAAATATTTTGAAGTGTAAAGCGACAAAAGCTTTTTTGAAATTACTATTTTGAAATGAAAATGCAAAAATAAATAGCAGTAATGCTGCAGTGAAGAAATTCATGAAATATTTTAGCTCTATAGCTGATGAAATCGGATAAATGACAAAAATTAGCAGTAAGGATGTTGCAATTGACTGAAGCATCATAATGTAGAGCATAAATTTTGTTAGAGTATCAGAAGAAGCTCATCAGGACAGATATTTAAGATCCTGTTTACTATTCAAATACAAGAAAAAGGATTGGATTTTTTTTTTCTCTTATATATCCTTGTGAATTGATTTTAGTAAACATTCAGGGCTTGCTTTGACGGTCTTGATTATGTTTCAACTAAAAAGAGAAGGATACAAATAATTTGGTCTCACTATTTATACATTCATATTAATCCTTCTTTTGTTATACAAATAGATCCACCATATCAGAACTAATCATGCAAAGGAAACCATTAATCTTCTACATTACAATTAATCATTATGATTTTCCGTAGCTGTTAAAATTATCTACACTTTTCTTTCATTTCCTTAACATTGATCAAATTAGTTTTAGCTAAACCAATAGGTACTACATCACCTTCAAGTACATAAAGCATGAATGAAAAATTCAAAAATATCAATTTTAACTCCATAAAAGACTGAACACGTTAAAGCCTTGATCAGTTCTTCTGTGACTACGTAATTACTTTCCAGGCTAAAAGCAATAGCAATCCTCTTAAATCAATTTTCAGGAGAACCCAAAGTTTACCTTCCTAGGAAGATAAGGCCGTTCAACAGGAAGCACTGCCCGGTTCGGATTGCGAGCGCCTTCGAACTAAATCAATTGGACACAAATATTAGAAACTGATGAGCACGGAAGCAAAATCGATGGTAGAATCGCATAGAGATTTCGAAACGATTAGAAGAGAAATTATGAGGACAAGCCTGAAGCAGAAGACGAAGACTCGGTGGAGGGAGCAGGCTTCCCTGAAGCCGGCGAGCCAGAGGATGGCCGACCTTCTCGCGTTCAGCGATAAGGCATCCATCAAAGAGAAGAAAAAGCCCAAAAAGAAAGTTATGGAATCGTTCCGCTCCTGCAATTTGCTCTGAGACCGAACCTTGCAAAAGGTTGGAACTTTTGCTTCAGGGTTACAGCGATGTTGGGAGGCAGCAGTGATACGCTTTGTTCACGGAAAGGAAAAGTTCTGAAACTAGCTGGAGCTTGCGTGAGAGGCGGTGGCCTGTTGGTCGGAAAAAAATTGAACTCCGCCGATCCGGGCTGAAACGCTCACGAAGCCTCAAATATGAATTCTAATTTCTATTTCAACGGAGATTTATTTATTTATTTATATTTTAAAACTCATATTTGATTTTAAATTTGATCCCATTTGTGAGACTTCTAGCTTTGTTTCAGTAATTATCAATGTTTTGATAATCTAACTGGGGTCAAATCGGATGCATAATAAATAATAAAATTATTAAAAATTATAAAATGAATGATAAATTTTCCTACAATAACTTCATTCTACATTTCATTATTATATCAAATTAATCAAAGAATATAAATATTGCATCAATTCAGTTTATAAAGCATAAAAAAATAACACAATATAAATATGACATTAAGTAAGTCCATAAAATATAAGTTCATAGATAAGTAAACAACTAAAGTACTCAACAAATGAGAAATTTTTTTAGAAATGCATATCTTTTGTTGAGCTCTATTGTGTGTTGGGTATTGAGGAATACAATATATCTTCAGTTCTCTTTCTCTAAAATGTGAAACCGTTAAAAAATTAAAATGAATAAAAAAAATTTTTTAGATCTTATAGTTTCTATCTCCATTTAGTGAAGCTTTGAAAACAAAATAAATATAATATACTCATCATAATTGTGCGCATAATATAAAATAAATAAGCAAAATTTTATAATAAGATTGTGACACTTTACAATACAATAACTGATAAGAAAAAGAAAAGCACATTCATAATACATATATGGAGTTACTAATGTTTCTCTTTCTTAGTTCAATAGTTTTAAAAATTCCACACAAAAAAAAATCAGATACCTCCTAATTTTCATCGTGAAATATATCCTTATAAATTAAGTTTTCATGTCACACTTCATCAAAATCTGCAGCTACAAATGCACCTAAATCATTGAAGTTAATTATGTCATATTCATCTCCTTCATTATCTAGTTCACATTCATAAACAAATAAAAAATATTAAATTAGATTGTATTTTTTATTTTATTTAAATGATATGTTCATATTTCACTAACTTATCAGGTGTAGGCTAAGTAAATGCAATGCTTGCTTCTTCAACAATAAGTATTGCAACCTCTTCGTATATCTCAGTTTCCAACTCCTCTAAGGCAAGATCTGCTAGTGATTCCCCATCAAGCACCAAAAAATCTACAATTTCAACACAAGTATAGTCAAGAGGATCATAGCTTCTTTTTTAGTTGAAATCTAAATAATGAAACAATAATTTTAGTGACAATTCTACATACATACAGTTTAATGACAATATTGACACGCATATTATGTTATAAAATTATAACTATTTTTTAAATTTAGATTATACCGAACATACAGGTCGTTCAATCATTGATGCTCCAAATGATCGCGTCTCTTTGAGTGAATTTGTTCAAAATCACTCTAATTTCTTTCGCAATCAGATGATGATGATAATGTTTGGCTTAGAATTCTTATAGCTACTTTCTACAAATTAGGAGAACTTGATCCAAACATCTTCCATTAATCATCTGCAAAATGAGATATTATAGAGCTTAGTAAATAAGCATATAAGTCAAAAAAATGTTTATGCATGGACATTTAAAAGATAACTACTAGGCTGCATTTCCTTTTTCATCATTAGAGCATTTGATTTTCGAAAACTTTCTATGCTATTTCAGAATAATTTAACCTCATTCATTGTAAGTGTGGGCTTATTACAAATATCTTTATTTCCAAGTAGTTTAACAAGGCCTTGCATTATTCTAGCTTGTGATAATAATTCTCCTTGTCGTACTGAAATTGAGGATTCATAAAGTATGCTACTACATGGATGCTCTGTCTCAATTGAGTGTCTCATCTTCTTTTAATTATACTGGTGAATGACTTATATAATCTTTTAATATTTCTGAATATAGCTTTGATTGCCTTCCGTGCCTTATATATTTCGTCATATAAATATCCAAGTGATGGTTTCCAATCTTAGTCAACAATGCGCAATAACCTGATCAAAGGACCTACTATCTTCGAAATTGTTAAACAATCATTCCAAAACTTTATATCTAAGATTATTACAGCTGCTTCTTTCCCCATACAAGTTTTGGATATCTTTGAATATGCATAGAACTTGTTTGTAATTAATGTTTGGAGATCATGTTTATGCTCACGTACACTCTTTAAGGTTATGAAATTTGGCGACTGGGATGGTCGAAGTAGTTCGCCGGTGGATGGGATGGCCGGAGGAGTGTGCCGAAAGCTAGGATGCTCGGAGCCTCGGAGGATTTCTTATGTCATTTCTGCTTCTACTTCAGTCATCGAGCGAATAGGGGAACAATCGAATATATGAATCGCGTATTTAGGGCAGAGGCTTGACATATACTTTCCAGGCTTGATTACACGTGTTTGATCATATTTGGATTGATGGCTGAGATTCATTATACTTAGAACCGTTCGGTTCTTCAAAACTCGCCTGGTTCGGCGGTTCACCGGTTCAACCTGGTTCTTGATCGATTTTTCACCGGTTTAACTTTCACCCGGTTCTTTCGGCTAACAAGACTGCCCGCCGGAATGATTCACGATTAAACCGGTCGAACTGACCGATCCGGTCCCGTTTTAAAAATGTTGGTAATTATAACTTTTATTTTTTGTGTGGCTATTATATTATTATTTTTAATAATACATAAGAGACACTAAAGTGAAAAAAGTATAAAATATTCTAACAAAAGTTTAAAATATTATTGTTTCATTTCAAATAAAAAATATAATATAATTTTCAAAATTCATCCTCAAATTTAATTTTGGTACATTTAAAAATTATTATATTTAGTCTATTTTCAAATACATTATAAATTTTTGTCATTATTGTCGTCGGCCGTCCTTGCCTGTTGTTAGTCGTACATCATTGCACCATCATCGCTCATTGCTAGCCTTCATTGTTACCACTTGTTGCCTTTGCCACCTTCCATTGTTGCTCCTCACCATCCAGCCATCACCGCTCACTACTAGTCGCCACTGCCACCTCCATTGCTAGATAGTGACCCCCACCATTGTTCGACACTATGATGTATTCATTTTATTTCAAGCTAAAAAAAATCACCTACATTTATTTTTACATTCATCAAACACATTTAAAATATTTTAATAATATTGTTATTCATTTTAATCAAGATTTCCTTTTAAACAAACAAAACAACCCCTTAAGAATTATCATTGCATTCATTGATTCATCATCATCACCATCATAATTTTCATTAACATCAAATGAGTTTATAAATATGTTTTCTTCGTTAATTTTTATTTGTAGTTTTTTTTGTTAATTATCACTATTTTTATTTATTAAAGGTCAAAATAGTCTTATGACTATTTACATGTGGCTAATTTAGTCATAGAGCATTATATTTCTTCAAATTTAATCCCTCAACTATACAGAATTAATCCAAAAATATCCTACGTAATTTGTTAAATATTTTCTCCTATAAGACAAATTTTTATTAATTATAAAACAAACATTACCATTTTCCCATTTCAAATCCTCATTTAAACATTACAATTTCCAACCAAAATTTAACCCATATTTTTCGATCATGCTTTCCTCAACAATTTGACCACAACACTCTCAATACATTAATTTAATTTAATATTTCAAAAATACCCCCAATTGTTAATTTTATAAATAAAAGGATCTCCATTTATATCCTCAAATATCCCATAATTATAATGTTGTGTTGGTATTCACACAATTTATAACACCCCCGCAACTCAAGCATATTGGCACATTCCAGAGAAGCACTTCACCCCACTCAAGCACCGTTTACCACAGCTGCTAAAATTGTGCTTATCAAGTGTTACATCGACGCATTTTCCGTCAAAGCAGGAATCTATAAATTTGCATATTCTTCCTCACCGATCACAATTGAGCTCGTCGCGGCTCGTATCAGTGCACTGATTGGCTCAGCAGGTCGGCTAGCCGTTCCCTGGAGTGTAACAGATCGCCATATTTCTTGAGCAGCCGCTACTCTTACTCGCAAGTCTGGTGAGAAATCGGGACCGGTAGCAGAGGAAAGGACAATGGAGGCCAACATTATGGCGATGATGATGAGGAAGGTGAAGCCCGGTGGAAATCATGTCATGACAGGTTTTGGAAGAGTGAGATGAGATGTGGGGGGGAGGGGGGGGGGGGGGAGTAGGGATTCATAGCTGATAAATGGAAGTGGAGTATAGGGAATTGGGACTTGATTATTGATGCAAAGATGAAGATTTAAGGAAAGGTGGAATGCATGGAGATATGGTGATGGGATGTAAATTAATGAGGTGCTTGGGATTGAAGGGTTTGTGTGAGGTCTTTTTTATGGGAAAGAAGGGAGGCCAACAGTTGCTCTTATTTGTCCACGTGCTTGCACGAGATTGGTGGGGATGAATTGTATGCATTTAGTGGCTTAGATAAAAAGTGAGATACCCTAAACCCTAAAAATGAATACTAAAATTATCAAATTTTTAGATATTAATGAGTTGCATATTTATTAGAGTTTAAGGTTGCATAAAATCTTAAATTTTTTAAAGATTTGTCATCAAGAGAAATGTTTGACTCATCTATGAAAATTATAATTTTCTTATTATAAATTTATTTGTATTACTTAATTGTAGTTATTCTCTTAGGAACCGGCCATTTTCTTAAAAAAATTTAATTCCAATCAAATTTTTAAAGTAATACATTTTATTTTATTTAAACCTTTTAAAATTTAAAAAATTTTAATAACATGTTTTATAAGAGTCATCTAACTTGGCATGTCTCATTTTTAAATGGGGTCGGCTACTACATCAAGCCTTTATGCCACTACATGGAGTCGGCTATGAATTCTTTTTCTCCATTGTGTGGTATTAAGAGTGGAGGGAAAACACATAAGAAAATAAAACAGTATATAAGATAAAATTTAAAACAAATTCTTATATTGCATTATAATTATTAAATGAAAAAATTACAAGCTTTGCATTCTATTTTATATTTTATGATAATGTTGTATACAACTAATTAATGCATAAACATTTATTAATATTATAATGATCAAGCCTT